TTAATCTCTTAAAGCCACCGCTGGAGAATCCGCGCGCGCGAGTACGCAGTTAACATTCCAATGAAATTTCCCGGTAGTATCGGGGGGGGGGGGAAGAGGGGAAGATCTTGTCATGAAAACGAGCACGGCGTGTTCTTCGGAGGAATACACGGGACGCAACAACGCGGATAAAAGGCTGGTTTGGAAGAATCAGCGCGCGTGGGTAGCCATAGTGCGACATACGACGCGTGTATAATGCCTGCATATCCACAGCTGGAAATGAAGCTCGCTGGCACGAGGCGAGCGGGTACGATGCGCGAAATTATTCTTTCGCCTATATGCAAGTTACGGATCTGCCTTTCAAATGGAGGTGCTCCGCGACGCGCGGAAAAACTTCGTCATTTCCATATATTTCGCCGAGGAGTGACAGCCAGCCACGCGTCTCCCCCGGGAAATTCACTTGCGCTCTAACCTGAATTTTAAGCCCGTTAAATTTTGCTCGCCGCGGTTCAGCTCGCGTAGCCGCGTGCCTTTGCGGCCGGAAGAGGAAACGAGCGGCTGCAACTTGCTTGGAGAACTTGCACGAACACTTTTCGTTCCGTCGCGTTGGGAACAGGCCTGAAACCTGCGTGACCTGCGAGAGTTAACTCTCGCGCCGTGAGAAAGGATACGGGAGAGTGATCGTTGAATTTATTATGCTCGAGAGCTGGTCGTGTAGATGGCAGGCGAATTAGGCTTGTCAAATTTCACGGATTATTAAGGGATTACGTGTCCTTGAACGCACTGGAAAATAAAGAATCCTTTCTTGGAGATGGAATTAAGAATTTCATTAAGAAAATAACGTGCGCATTTTATCGCATGTTGTTCAGTCAGTGATTGCTGAAAATTTGAACTAAATGTAGACAGTCGTTCAGCCATGGCTGTTCGATCGAAACACCGTTTGCGGTGTGAACATATCTCCGTATAATTTTATCTAAATCGAATATTTTCTTGTTGAATTTTACGAAAGAAGTTTCGTCGCTGATTTAAAACATCAATTTCTTTTAGAAAATAACAGTAATTTTCGCCGTAAATTTTCAGCTCTTTCGTTAATTAAAAGAAGAAAAAAAAAAGATTGAAAATTGCACGAATCAGAATTGCGCTTCGCCAGGTAGTAGATAATAACATTGAGAATATTAAAAATTTTTATCCAAATTGATTCGATATTCCTTCAAATATCTCTGGTAGCGATTTTGAAAATTTCATTCCGAAAAGGAAAACGTTTTTTAAAATTTCAATTATCCGTTGCAGACCAAAGTTAAATATTTCTTATGAAATGTTCCAGAAGAATCGCAATTTTTGGAAAATTGATTTTCTAACTTTATGAAAGCTATGTAAGCCTCTTAAAATTATTAAAAGTTGTATACCGAATGACTCGTAAATAAGAATGCATTCATATCTTTAGACATACAGCCTTTTGATTGTAATATCATCTTCTTCGATCTTCTAATAAACAAAACAAATATTTCAATGTGTCCCAAATATTTCAGATTATTTGTACAGATTCTTGCACAGGCTAAACACTCGGGGGATTAAAGCTGTGATAGGGAAACGTATGACTTCATTAACCTGATAACTGGGTCATTTCTTATCCCAAAAACTTTTAAAATTGATAATTAATTAAAGACAAGTTGGTCGTGGTCCGATTAGTTTCAGACTTTATAAATGAAATTGCGATGTGGTTTATTTTCAATAAGAATAATACAGAATTCACAGAAAAAGATAAATTTCTAAATTATTGTATTAGAAAATTGTTATATTAAAAAATTATTGAAATCTTAGTAATATAACATACAATGTGTATTTTTAATTCTAATTTTGATAGGAAATATGTATAAATATTTGAAAAGATATTATAGATACTTTAAGATATTATTTACAGAAAAAATTTAATCTCGAAAAAGTCTTGAAAAATCGTGTTATTTATCTAAAACATATGTAAACATATCTAAATATTCAAGACCTTAATCTATTATCTTGTTTCATATTAATAACAGAAATTATTTTATCTCCCGAAATTAGAAGCCAGGACTTGTTTATTTTCGATGAAATGTATTTTCATTATGAAATTACGAGTAATAATTATCATGATTTATCAATATTATGAAGTGATTAAATTGCTTTTTCTCGCCAGATTTTAATCTCTATATTTACACAAACAAACAATGCGTATAGATATATTTGATACTAAATAGGATCGAAGAGAAGAACAAACAACTTCTGATTGTGAATTTCATTTTAAACTCTTCCCATTCCCTTTAATTTATATAATTTCTGAAAGAAATTTTCCTTTCCAATTAAATAAACTCTGGCCAGAGACATTAGAGAACGCGAAGTTGATTGTATTTATAATTAGATTTAACTTCAAACTTATAATTCACTGTGCGCGTTTTTCCATAATTATTTTTCTTTTTCCGAACGATATCTCAGAAGAATAATACATTTGTGGCCGAGGATTATGCAGCGAGACACAACAAGGTTGCAAACTCTAATTGGTTAGTAACCAGTACGTGTTTCGTCGAAATGTGATACTATAATAATATCTTGGAAACGAAGGATAACGAATAGGGGAAAAAGTTTGAAATAAACCATTTGTTATTCTAGCTATCGCTAGTTATAAATTGCCTCAGTGATAAGCTGTACGTTGAAAAACGTATCGCTTACCATTCTCGATCGCTATTTGAAGTAAAGTACACTGAAAACGATATTTTTTTTTCTACAAATTTTTTTTTCACACAAAATGTTGCAAACCCGCGTTTTTTTTTTTTTTTT